CCCCCCCTCTCTCAAAACAAGCCTACATAAACTAGCTCGGTGTCTGCTCTCCCCCCTGTGGAACCACCACCTTCAAATATTCCAAACCTTAACTCCCCTGATGGGGATGCTGCTTCTTCTAACTCCACAACTCAACTAATATACAATCACTCCTCTCCCAATCTCAAATCCCCTAACAAATTTGATGCCCTGCAATTGCTGGACGAGGACCAGGGTAATTCGATAGACTCATCTCTTATTCCTCAAGACCATCTTCAAAATGCAAAACAAGCAGAGACCTTTAATGCCTAATCGGAACAATCGGCCAAAGCTCACACCACCAAAAATGCTAAGGGGAAGCAAGCCAAGAAGGCACCTCCTTCCCACCGTTAATTATGTCTGTACCTGCTATTGCCTGCTGGAATATTAGAGGCTTTAATAGTCCAGAAAAGGTATTCTGTTGTAAAAGCCTTGCTTCCTCTTTCAAACTTGATTTACTGTGTATTTTGGAAAATAGAATTCACGTCTCCTCTTTTCATAATCCCTTTTTTTTCTGATACTCATCTTGTCTTTCCCACTGAAAATTCCTGTCACAATTTTAATCTGACCTCTTCGGATCGGATTTGGATTAAATGGAACTCGTCCAAGCTCTCCTTCTTACCTTCTGTCATTTCCTCTCAGTTCATTATGGGAAGGTGGTTAGCTCTCTCTACCCACCTTTTATCCTTACGGTTATTTATGCTGCTAATGATAGAGCTGATAGGTCCCCGCTTTGGGACTCTCTTAGAAGCTGTGCTGCTTCCCAATCCTCCCCTTGGATCGTTATGGGAGACTTTAATTGCTGTAGATTTGACTCCGAGAAACTTGGCGGCAATCCTCTATCTCACAGAAATCTGGGTGAGCTTAATTCACTTATTTTTGATGCCAAGCTTGATGAGTTTAATTTGGTGGGTAATGTATACACTTGGTACAACAAAGACTTGACAATCTCATACATATTAAGCTCGATCGAGTCATTGTGAATGCTCATTGGACTACCACTTTCCTTAATGCTTACTATTCTGTTCAAGCACCCTCTTTCTCCGACCACTGCCCTTTAATTCTCCGTGCCTTTGATTCTGTTTACAACCACCATAGATTTCTTTTTAAGAATTATTGGACTTCTATTGATGGTTATTGGAGCATCTTGCTTAATGTCTTCTCTTCTCCTCCCAATGGAAACCCTTTGGCAGATTTTTGTAACAAACTCAGGTTATTCAAAAGGCTTATTAAAGTGGAATCTTGGGCAAATTCTAATATCATTAAAGATCATTTGGATTCTTTACACCTTAAACAATTGGCTTGCCTTCACCAGATTTCTTCTGATCTGCACAACAATATGCTCAACAGTAACCTCAAGACCATCAATAAGCATATTTCTGACTTCTCATCCCTCCACTCTTCTTGGATTATTCAACAGGCCAAAGCTTCTTAGCTTGCCAACCGTGAGGATGACCTCAAGTTCTTATATGCAAAAATTAATCACAAGAAAGTGTCCAGTAATTCTGCACTTAACTTGGGTGCTGCTTCTCACCCCCTTCGTGCTGATGCTATTTCTGATATCATTAATCTTTTGTAAGATCTCTATAACCCGCCTCTGTTGGAGTCTTTAAACATGGAGCATTTTCTGCCAGGCAACATTTTACATCCCTCTCTTAGCAATTCTCTTACTGTCTCTGTTACTGATGATGAGATTAGGGCCTCTGTTTTTGATGGTGCTGCTTCTTCTGCACCCAGTCCGGATGGGTTTAACTATCATTTTTACAAACGCAGCTAGCACATTATCGGTCCTTCGGTTTGTAAAATTGTTAAATTCTTTTTTATTAAAGGATTTCTCTCTATTGGCATTAAGGCTACTGCTCTAGCTCTTATTCCTAAAACTAAACATGCTGCCTCTTTTGCTGATTTTAGGCCTATTACTTTATGTAATGTGATTTACAAAATTATTTCCAAAATTTTTACTACCAGATTAAGGCCCATCATGCCTTCTATTGTTAGAGACACTCAAGCAGGTTTTATCAAGTCTAGAATCTCTACAGACAATATAATTCTTGCTCAAGAGCTGCTTACTTTTGCTTGTAAAGGGAAGAAAAATTTATTCTGTTCTAAATTTGATATACGTAAAGCTTTTGACACAATCTCTAGAGAATTTATTCTGGCTAGATTGGTCCATAAAGGTATCCCAACGATGTTCATCGCTTGGGTTAAGGCTTGTATTACCAATATCAATTTTTCTATTGTGAGTAATGGTGCTTTGGAGGATTTTCCCTCTACTGCTGGGGTGCGGCAGGGCTTTCCATTAAGCCCGTATCTTTTTTTGCATTGTCATGGATGCCTTCTCTTCTCTTATCGACAATGGCAGTTTTGTAGGGGCTCATTTTGGCAATTTCAATCTTAGCCATTTGCTTTATGCAGATGACTTACTTATTTTTGGAGATCCCTCTGCCTCCAATTGCTCTCAACTTATGCTTATTATAGATTGGTTTGCTGAGGAATCTGATCTTAATATCAATTTTGATAAGATCTCTCTCATGATTCCCAAGCACATCAACAATGTTGATTCTATTTGCAGAGCTCTCTCCCTTTCCCTCAAAGATACTATTACCTACCTTGGGATTCCGTTCTCCTTCAAGAGGCTTAAGATTTTGGATTTCTCCCCCCTTATGGAATCCATCACCAAGAAGCTGTCGGGTTGGAATGCTAACCTTCTATCTTTTGCGGGAAGACTTCAATACCTCAAATTTACCATGCTCAACTCCATCGCCTACTGGATAAGAGGTTCGATATTGCCTAAAGCTGTGGTCAAATATATTAAAAGAGTTGCTTCTAAAATTCTTTTTTTTTTTTTTTTTTGAGATTTATCTGTGTAAAAAAAAAAACTTCACATGGTGGCTTGGGATAAGGTTTGCATGCTTAAAGATAAAGGGGATCTTGGTGTCCCCAACATTTATGCTATTTAATACAGTTTTAACTGCTCTCTTATACTGAGGATATATAACTTTAAGTCCCCCCTGGCTGGCTGGTTCCTCACACATTTTGTTTCTCCTTGGAAGCCTGTTGATTCCAAGGCTACCTGCCTCTGGAAATCTATTTGCTCCACTGCTCAAATTTCCAAGGACAATTGGCATTTTAAAGTAATGCCTTGCTCCCCTTTTTCCTTCGTGTGGGATTACTGGTGCAACTCCTCTCGGATTGCAGACTTATGCAATTTTGGCCCTGCTTTTGGTAATTCTGTTGTGAGCAATTATATTGTGGATAGTTCCTGGTGCATTCCTTCGACTATGCCCTATATTGCTGTTAATGCTATTCTATTGGTTGTTATTTCTGATTCTCAAACCCCCTGCTTACTTTGGGATAATAGGAGCCATGCTAAATTTTAAAACTTTTTACATGATTATTACAACTCCTATCCTGCTTGCTCCTGGGATGGTTTTGTGTGGCACAAAAAACATGTTATGAGGTATTCGGCTTTTATCTGGATTATGTTGGTGGGTGGTTTGAAAACCGCTATGGAGTTGCACAGGAGGAACATATATGTGGATTTAAATTGTTCTCTCTGCCACTGTTACCCTGAGTCTACTGCTCATTTATTTTTTGATTGCTCTTATACGCATAAGATTATTACGGGTCTTATTCCACAGTGCTCTACTATCCTTCTTACACCCAACCTCCTGTAGCTGTTTGATTGGGTTAACGATTCTCATAATTTCTAGTCAAGGACTAAAAGTTTTTACTTCCTTGTTATATGTTGCACGATCTACCACGTTTGGAGAGAAAGGAACGAGAGGAGATTTGGTTTTTCTGCTTCCAGCTCCACTACTGTTTGTTATAAGATTAAACATGCTATCTTCCCTAAAGTATGTAAATGGAAGGATGGTCTCCTCTTATTGGATTTGCTTTGAGCTCGTGCACCGTTCTTGGGGTGCTTGATTGTGGCTAGTTTTTCTAGTCTGGAGGTTTTCTGCGGGCTTTTATTGCTGCTTCATTTGCTGGGCTTACAACTGTTTTTTTAATTTTTGGGGATTCTTGGAGGTTTTGCTGTTGGAATCGAGGGTCTATGATGTGCGATTGCTGCTCCCTGGATGGTGGACTAAAGCAACATGTTGATCCCTTGACGGCCTTTCTCCGCAACTGAGAGTTCGACTTTACTAACTCTTGCAATCGCTGTACTAATCTGAGCCCGACCTGTCCCAGATTCCTCTCTTTTTTTGTGAAATTTTGGTTCTTTTTTACATGTGTAATTTTTGGGGCTGATTTTTGTTTTCAGATTTCATTGGAGTCTTTTTTCTCCAAATTTTCTTTACACATGTAACTAGTTTCCTTTATCAATGAATGGGCTTTTGCCCCTAATTTTCCAAAAAAAAAAAAAGTATCTTCTGTCAATATTGCAAAGACAAAAAGAAGGGCAAAAAAACAAAATGCCATTTTTTATTTATGCAAAATTTTTTTATAAAAATATCCATTTTAAACAATTTTTTTTTTGTTGTTGAAAAAAAAAGAAAAAAAAATCACAGAGATTACCGTCTTCCTACAAATCTTTTCAAGCCTCTCAAACAAATATATACATACAAAGGCTCAAAGAATAATACAGCACTACTTAAGCAGATTCAATTACAATAGTGATTAATAAGCTCACCCTGCACCAAAACTAGAGTTAGAAAGGCCTGTATGAATCAGCCTAGAGCTTTCACCTTGTTCAAGATCTTCTTCCATGGGAGAGACATCTAAGAATGGAGGATCACTGAGAATAAGCACTTCTTCACAGTTGTTGCTTCTGAGCATTTCGACAGCTCTCGACATCGTCGGCCGGCTTTGTGGGTCGCCTTGCGTGCATCGAAGCCCTATCAACATAACTTGGACGATCTCATCGCCCACACTCTTGTCGTAGATCTTCTTGTCAATTATATCATCCAATGAATTAGCCTTGTAATGTTTCCACACCTGTTAATGGAGGAGAGACAGAGAGAGAGAGCAAACAAAGTCAGATATAACACCATAAGGGAAATGGGATTTCCAACGGTCGAATATATCCACCCTTAAAGATGACATTATTTTTTAGGAATTTTAAGATACATAACACCTAAAATTATTGAAAATATATATGTAACACCTAAACTTATATATTTACTAATATACCACCTAAAACCCCTCTTTTAATCAATTCTAACATTCCGTTTAAACCTTCCATAAAAAATCACTATTAGCGACTGTCTTCCCTGTCAATGGCATCCTTTCACAGTGAATATAAATATCTCATCGCTTCGATGGAGTGGTAGAATAGAAGGAAATGAGGATTTTAGGTTGTATATTAGTAAATATAGAAGTTTGTGTTAAATATGCATTTTTAATAATTTTAGATATTATGTATGTAAAAATCCTTTTTTTTATTTGCCGCTTTTTTTTAGTCTATCTACACCTACAGATATAAACTTCCCCCCTCCCTTTTCCCAAAATATGCCTTCGTGGATCTTGCGAAGTATTAGGAATACCTAGTTTAAGCCAACTTAACATCATGGCTACAGAATTTCGAGCCACAAGAACATCAA